ATTTTGAAGTTAGTACCAAAGATACAACCAACAATTTTGTTATATTATTTTATTAGAATTATATAATTTAATATTTAATACATTTAATATAATTATATATTTTGTGTGTGTATTTTGTAAGAAAATGTATTTATATTTACTTAAAATTCACTAGTTAATCATTTACAATTAACTAGTTAAGGTGAAAAGTGAATAAAATTGATTAGATTTTTTGATTTGAAATTGATTTGATTTGTCTTGACATTTAATAAAAAAAACTACATTTACATAGTATCCAGATACCAGTGACATTATCATTAGGACGAATGTTTCATGCGTGTCTTTGATAAAGATATAGCAACAATATTGATTGAGAATTATTGTAATTGTGTAACGAGGCTAATTGTTAAACCCTCTAATTTGTCTCTTGCCATGTGTAATTAAGCTGAAATCCCACAGTGCATTTGAGTAATCCTCCGCTTCATCATTTATTCATTACCAAGCTGTTCTTATTAAATGCCTCAATCATAATTATTAACCATATCTTATCAATAAAACAACAAATTTCATCGGTTCGCCAAATAAAACAGTCACCGTACAGAATTGTCGCAGGGAAACCGAAGTGTTAAAGGTAGCATTAGCTACACGCTAAAGTCGTCGGTGCCTACGGCGGATCGGGTGTCTGTAGTTTATCCTCCTGTACCCCCTGCACAGCCTCCATCTCTCTCTCTTTAAAGAGCATGCTAGCCTCGCGATCCCTCAAGGTAAACCCCCAAATTACGCCTAATGTTCTACACAGGCTAATGGTTGTTGGTGCCATTAGAATATGCGTTATTTGGCTCCGTGGGTTTCAGACATTCCCAGACCCGAGCGTCGTCGCACACACACACACACACACACACACACACACACACATTTGCACGCGCACACACTCTTATACACCCCAGGCCTGTGGAGATGAATGGAGTTTGCAACACTACAATGAGCTTTTGATGCCAAGACAATGGAGGAGGCTTCCCACATGTGTGTTTCTGAGGGCCGCTAACAATATAGGGTCCACTTTGCCAGGCCCTTCTGCCCCTGGGCTGGTCGGGGGGTTGTGGGTAATGGTGTCCCGAGGGTGCCCAAAAATGATGTCGAAGTGTCATGAAGCTCAGAAAGATGGCCGTGGCTTCCCTACTGGCACCCCCTTTTCTTACCGCGTCACAGAAACACACTAGCGTGGGGCGGCAGGTTAATATCGCTTCTATAAAATCACCTTACACCCAACCCAACCTCTCTTGTGCTCGTGTGGCGTCTCCTATTACAGCGTTGGTCCTCGGGCAACAGCAAATCATCATTTGTTACTCATGTGCACGTCCCCTTCTCGTCAAGCTAATAGAGGTGAAACGGAGGTGTGGTCCAGCTCTTGTTTTCCTCAGTGGTTGTGGATCTTCACTTGTCTTGTAAAATGTGGTGGAAGCGAGTAACCAGGGTCCAAAATTAAGAAAAATCCTCAGTCGAGCAGTAACCTTGTTTATGAGATGACAACATAATATGTGATCAGCTGTGTTTTCAAACAAATTAGTATCTCAGTTTTGCTAGGAAGCCACCATTTTTTGGTTTTTATATTATTGTTTTGTGTGTGTGTGTGTGTGTGTGTGTGTGTGTGT